TTGAAGAGCAATGCATCTGTACCACCAGGCTCTAAGTGTGAGGAGGATGGGCAAGCAGTAAAAATGACAGTGAAACCTTCTAAGCAGCTTATAAATATAATATTAAAGAGCACCTGTCATTTCAGTTCCATCATGGCAGTGCCTGTTACCGGGCATCCACTCACCTGCTGCCTGCCACGTCCCTCACCTTGTTGTGTCACTGTCGCATCACCAGCCATCCCATTAAAGTGAATGGGACTGTCAGTGAGTCAACAGCGGGTCAGAGGAGGAGCTGCTGCGGGACAGAGATGACAGTTGCTCTTTAAAAATGATATTTTTACTAGTGATTTAAATCGTGATTTAAATCAACTTGATTTAAATCAAATCCACCCTGTCTTGAATTGAGGAAGAACTCAGAGAAGTTGACTTTGAGTGATAGGAAGAGGTTAATATACTATTTCAGTGTGATATACAGTACATTTATAGCAATTGAAAGGTAAGAAGCTAGGTTTGGGATAACATGTCCTAGCAATGCAATGGTCTATCTGGCATCTTTCTTCACCTAAGGCAATCATACCTATAGTTGATATGGCAGTAGGAAACTTTTTTCTTGTTTATTAGAATGCCATAGTGAATATGAGTTCAGGGAGACATGAAAGAATAACTCCACACCTTCTCTGCCTCCCAAGTGCATGTCATTTCAACCTGTATGGCTTTGGAAGGGTGAACTACTGTAAATAAATTGGAGGGGGTGGTGGAGAAAGGACTATCCAACGGTGTTGCAGAGTAGTAGCACAAGACACTGTTGCAGTGGTGTGGTAGGAAGATGAAGTAAATCTAATCCTGAAAGCTTGTTCATTTTATTACAATGAAATCAGTGTTCAGGGTGATTTGACAGTAACCTCATGAACAGTCCACAGAGATTTTGTGTGCCCTTAGAGCAGTTTTACAGTGGAACTGATAAAGCTACTAAGAAAATGGGGGTGGGGTTTGGTTTAGTTAGCACCTGTTGCTCAATATTTTAAGGAAATGAATCCTGTGCTGTTGACTTGGTTTGCAACTATTCCCAGGAGGCAGTTCTGATTATATTGAATGTACCATAAATGTAAATTCTTCCTTCATAGAAGTGTATCATTTTCTGACCTGCTGTACAACCTTTGTATGTTTCCTTAATGTTTTTCCCCCAGAATGCCCTTCCTCAAGTGGTAAACCTAACCATGCAGATATCTTGCTTATAAATTTACAGTATGTATCAGAAGTTAACATAATCAGTGACCGCACAGAAACACCCCCACCTTTAGCTTCACTCAATGTTAGCAAGGTAAGAATCTTGTGAAGATCGTTTTTCAAGTAATTGAAAATACTGAAGCTACATTCACAAACTATTCACAGCATAAAGTGTTTATTTCCATTTGGCTTTTAAACTGCATCTTGATGTTCTTAATCATGTAGTTTTGAGTAGCAACACTAAATAGTTTTCAAGTTAATTTTTCTGGTAATTTACTTCTTAAATATTGCCTAATCCAGGAATTCTCAAATTCTATTGATGTTATAAAATTGCAGTACTAAAGTTGTGCAATCCTTCTCATGAACAGTTCAAACGATTTCGTTTGGTTTGGCCAAGAAAGGTTTCATATTTTCTTGACTTTTACTAGCAGTTCTGGTCAACTTTTACTTTTATCTTGCCCCAGAACAAAAATATTTTCATTTTGAAAGTCTGGAAGTTTAAAATAACAGATAAAAATACTGAATTTTACTAATCTACACTGCGAGAGACACCCTAAAGGTTATAAATATGCTACTACATTGGAATTTACAAGCCAGCACAAGATCACTTGCCAGTCACAGTAGTGATGAAATAGTTTAACCATATTTCAAAATTCAAGCCACAGTTGGTTGCCCGTTCTTATTGTGCAAGTCAGCTGCAGTCTTGGCCAGACAAATTGGGAACAACTTTTGACAAAGCATGTGTTTTGTGTTCACATGTCTAATCATTTTAATTTAAATGTCCAGCCCTCCCCCTTTAAATTTCTCAATACCTTCAATTTGGAAATATAACCCATAACAACTTTCAGGCAACAAAGTATCATAGCCATTGCTTCAATGCATTTTTAATCTTGAGAGCAGTTTATTGTTCAACTATATCTAATTTCTCTGTTGTATTTTAGTTGGACAAAGCAGCTTTCCCCCAGAGTTATATATGATTATAGACTATAGTGGACTGGATGAGAGAATGCTAGATTCAAGAAAGCTGGTTTGCCCTCTTGTTTATCACTGGAATAAAGTTGTCCGTATTAAGGCAATGGGCCAGCTGTCCCATTTCCCCCTCTTTACCTAAAAGCCTGTCTCCAGGTTACTGATTTTAAGGCTCTTCCTTTAGCCATAGAGCATGGCTGTCAAACTCAGTTTCATTGATGTCCAGGATCCATCTGTGTGTGGTAGCTCTTGATGCACTGACTCCAGCCTTGTGAAAGTCCCCAACACTTTTGAATGGCCTTTTCCTGACAATCCTCTCCAGGCTGCAGTCATCCCTGCTGCTTGTGCACCTTTTTCTTCCACTCTTTTCCCTTCCACATAACTTTCTATTAATGTGCTTTGACAGCACTTTGGGAACATCCACCTTCTTTTGCAATTACCTTTTGAGGCTTTCCCTCCTTATGGAGGGTGTCAATGATGATTTTGTGCACAACTGTCAGGTCAGCAGTCTTTCCCATGATTGTGATTCCTACTGAACCAGACTGAGAGACCATTTAAAGGTTCAGGAACCCTTTGCAGGTGTTATGGCTTAATTCGCTGATTAGAGTGGGACACTGAGCCTAGAATATTGAACCTTTTCACAATATTCTAATTTTCTGAGATTGTGGATTGGGGGTTTTCATGAGCTGTAAGCCATAATCATCACAATTATGACAAATCACAGCTTGAACTATCTTGCTTTGCATGTAATGAGTCTATCTCATATCTTAGTTTCACCTTTTAAGTTGCATTACTGAAATAAATAAACTTTTGCACGATATTCTAATTTTTCAAGTTTCATCTGTATAAGGTCAAGAGTCTGGTACCACTGTCTTTAAGAATTTTGGTTATGGTAGTTCAATTTTGCTAAATGGGTTTGTCTATAGAAATATAGCTCTCTTTTATGCCTGTTGGGACTATATTCCCAATTAAGTGACTTCTTCATCTGTCAGACTTCATTGGCACTTGTTAATTGAGTGAAAAAACATGGAGGCTTGTTGGTGGTGTTCAGTAGCCACAGTTATTTCCAAAGAAATAAATGGATTTATAGTTATGGAAAACTTACAGTTCCAAATCTCTTTCCCACAAATAAAGCTGTATGTGGAGCATTTTCTATATTTCTTCTAGACAGGTGTTTCTCAAACTTGGCAACTTTATGATGTTGTAGACTTCAACTCCCAGAATTCCTGGCTTTGGATATTAGGTTGGGTTATGTCACCTGTACTTTGTTGTCCCTCACCTTTCCCCTTCTTCCACTTTAATCTTAAAAGTACCTAATTGCTTCCATATTTTAAAATTCTCTTTGTTTTACATTGTTTGGAGAGTTTTTCATCTAGTTAAAGAGTTTAACTTCAGGAGATGGGATTTGTTCCATCTATGTCATCCAGACTTTGTGTTCCTGCAAATCAAATTCCATTTGAAGATTAAGGTTACTGCATCTCTCATGCACCTTTATAGCTTGCAAACAAAGCGCGGATGGAGAAGGAAGAAAAGCTGAGCCAGGCGTATGCAATTAGTGCTGGGGTCTCTTTGGAAGGACAGCAACTATTCCAGACTATACATAAGACGTAAGTAGCAGGAATTTTTACAAATATAATATACTAGGAGATAACATTGGAGCAGAAATTGCTATGGAGTATGTTTATCCCTCCCAGGCACTGTGATCCTAGCAAATGCAAGCTGATGTTATTTTGGTTTTTCTTTCAGTTTGCTTGAAAACCAAGCACTTGGAAATCTAAGGTTTTTTGCCCACTTTTTGTGATTGAAGTTGAATATGCTACATGGATTATTCTAAACCCAGATAATTTGAATGGTTATGGTAGCTATTTGGTAGAAAATGGATGTATGATTATTTGCTGGTGAACTTACGTTGGTGGTGTGAAGGCTCATGAAGGCTTCCTCATTTTTTTCTTGCGAACTTACACAACTCACACACACCCAATCCCAGTGTATATTCCAATTACTTTTTTGAGGTGGGACAGTACTTCCAAAGGGTTTAAATTTATTCAATAATGAAAAACAATTAAATTGAATCTAATATATTGTGAAGGGTACACAGTTGCTCATTAACCAGTTTATAGCTAAAATACCTATTATACTCTTCCTCATTTATTACATGATTCTAATGTTAAATCTGTTTTTTGCAAGTCTAAAGACATTTTGACTAAAACCATGCAACATTTAAATATCATACTAAGCCATTATGTGGTTTGTTTGATTTTGATTCAGCACTGTGTGAAGTAAGTCCTTGTTTATGATTTATGTCTGTAAATATGTATTTTATGTACAAATTTAATCAATTTCATTGACAAAACCATAATTTAGCATGATATGTGAACCTAACCTGTATATATCAACAATTAATAAAGTTCAATGTGTACAGATGTTAATCTTAATTGAATGTTGTGTGCTGATAAAAATAACAGTGGCACTTTTTATAAGATTATATACTTCAAAATACTCAGAGCAAATTCACAGTCAGAAACTAATATGGGAATGTTCAGGAGTATTAGTTCTTGGGTTAAAAAGGTAGTCGTTGGACAGATGATCAGAAGAACAAGCTGCACTCTCCTGTTCCCTTTTTCCATTATAAATGGCCATGAATTTTCATTAGCAAAGCCAATCAAATTTCTCTGTTTCCTCCAGTATTAAAGATTGTAAATGGCAAGAGAAGAATATAGTCGTGATGGAAGAAGTTGTCATTGCTCCTCCATACCAAGTGGAAAACTGTAAAGGCAAAGAGGGGAGAGCCCTAAGTCATGTACGCAAAATAGTAAGTACTGTGTACAATGGTCAGAGGTCTGTCAGGGAAAAGAGAAGATGGAGTTCAAAAAAACAGCCGCACAAGCAAGCCTGACCTTGATCATGCAGATTCAAAAGTGAATTTGAACTGAATTCACATATCTTGCTTTGATTTTGGCATGTGTGTGAGCCCAGTCATTGTAATTCATAAATATTGGCTTCTACTTATTATATTCTGTGAACTCAAAACAATTGTTAATTCAGTGATAATGCTTTAACAGACTATGATGATGCAATGTATGACTGTAGCCTTCATATTGTCAAGCTCAGGCCCAGAGATAAGACAGATCAAATCAAGTCCAATCCTTTATTTGCTCACACCTAATAGATTCTTGCCAAACTAAAGCTATAACTTTCTAAGCTACTAGATATACACTGCTCAAAAAAATAAAGGGAACAATTAAACAACACAATGTAACTCCAAGTCAATCACACTTCTGTGAAATCAAACTGTCCACTTAGGTAGCAACACTGATTGACAATCAATTTCACATGCTGTTGTGCAAATGGAATAGACAACAGGTGGAAAGCATAGGCAGTTAGCAAAACATCCCCAATAAAGGAGTGGTTCTGCAGGTGGTGACCACAGACCACTTCTCAGTTCCTATGCTTTCAGGCTGATGGTTTGGCCACTTTTGAATGCTGGCAGTGCTTTCACTCTAGTGGTAGCATGAAACAAAGTCTACAACCCACACAAGTGGCTCAGGTAGTGCAGCTCATCCAGGATGGCACATCAATGCGAGCTGTGGCAAGAAGGTTTGCTGTGTCTGTCAGCGTAGTGTCCAGAGCATGGAGGCGCTACCAGGAGACAGGCCAGTACATCAGGAGACATGGAGGAGGCTGTAGGAGGGCAACAACCCAGCATCAGGACCGCTACCTCCACCTTTGTGCAAGGAGGGACAGGAGGAGCACTGCCAGAGCCCTGCAAAATGACCTCCAGTGGGCCACAAATGTGCATGTGGCTGCTCAAACAGTCAGAAACAGACTCCATGAGGGTGGTATGAGGGCCTGATGTCCACAGGTGGGGGTTGTGGTTACAGCCCAACACCTTGCAGGACATTTGGCATTTGCCAGAGAACAAGATTAGAAAATTCGCCACTGGCACCCTGTGCTCTTCACAGATGAAAGCAGGTTCACACTGAGCACATGTGACAGACGTGACAGGGTCTGGAGATGCCGTGGAGAACGTTCTGCTGCCCGCAACATCCTCCAGCATGACTGGTTGGGCGGTGGGTCAGTAATGGTGTGGGGTAGCATTTCTTTAGGGGGCTGCACAGCCCTCTGTGTGCTCACCAGAGGTAGCCTGACTGCCATTAGGTACCGAGATGAGCTCCTCAGACCCCTTGTGAGACCATATGCTGGTGCAGTTGGTCCTGGGTTCCTCCTAATGCATGGCTAGACCTCATGGCTGGAGTGTGTCAGCAGTTCCTACAAGATGAAGGCATTGATGCTATGGACTGGCCCGCCCGTTCCCCAGACCTGAATCCAATTGAGCACATCTGGGACATCATGTCTCACTCCATCCACCAGCACCACATTGCACTACAGACTGTCCAGGGGTTGGGGGATGCTTTAGTCCAGGTGTGGGAGGAGATCCCTCAGGAGACCATCTGCCACCTCATCAGGAGCATGCCCAGGCATTGTAGGGAGGTCATACATGCATGTGGAGGCCACACACACTAGTGAGCCTCATTTTGACTTGTTTTCAGGACATTACATCAAAGTTGGATCAGCCTGTAGTGTTTTTTTTAACACTTTAATTTTGAGTGTAACTCCAAATCCAGACCTCCATGGGTTGCTAAATTTGATTTCCATTGATAATTTTTGTGTGATTTTGTTGTCAGCACATTCAACTATGTAATGAACAAAGTATTTAATAAGAATATTTCATTCATTCAGATCTAGGATGTTTTATTTTTGTGTTCCCTTTATTTTTTTGAGCAGTGTATATTGAGAGATACTAGGGTGTGATTACCCTAAACCTCTTTTCCCCACCACCATCCCCTTTAGCTCAGGACTGTGCAGTTTCTTTATCTGGGTCTCCTTCTGGGAATGGTCTGAATTGGCAAATCTTCCTCCTCTGCTGATACAGGTGCACACTCCACCATGCATATGTGTCTCAAGCAATACAGGTAGTCCTTGACTTATGACTGGTCATTTAACAACAGTTACAGTAGCCTCAGAAAGGGTAAAGCACTTCAGCTTTTGTAAATTGTCTCTCGCACATCCCGATGGTTACATGACTGCATTTTGGGTACTTGGCAACCAGCTCACATTTAAACTGGTTTCAGCGTCCCATGCTCACATGACCATGGTTTGCAACATTTTTTTGCCAGTTTCCGGCAAAAAAAACCACCTATTCAGGAGAATGAATTCCAGCTTACAATTACATGATTTGCTTCACAGCTGTAAAAACAATCATAAAATCAGTTCTGGTCATGTGGGTGCCTAGACTTGTGACTGTTGCAACTTATGACTGAACTTACGACTGAAATTCTGTTCCCCATTCTGGTCATAAGTTGAAGACTACATGTAACTTTTTTTTAAGTAAATATCTTATCAAACAAGAGGCAAGTTTAAATCCAGATGATTAAAGTGGTAGTTGTATTTGTAGTATAGAATGGAACTTCACAATTCTACAGTAGCAGAACTGTGAGAAATGTCTGTGTGTCCTGTTTGAAGTTTTATATAGAGATAAGTTTTGTATGTCAGATACAGAATCTCTTGGTACAGGTATAATTTCCTCAATGTTCTTCAATATTTGTAGTGGAACACGGACATTCTGTGTTATTAAGGTAAATACCTTGTGTTTTCTTCTTTTAAAGCAGGGGTCTCCAACCCCCTGGCCACAGCCCACTACTGGGCCATGTCCCGCAGGTCAGTGTGTGTGTGCACACTTGCACAAGTTGAGCTGCATGCATGCACATGCCAACCTGCCGCTCACTCAAGTCAAGCTACGTGCATGTGTACATGTGGCCCAGTACTCTCCCCCCAGCTGCAAAGGTTAGGGACTGCTTCTTTAAAGAAGGAAAAATAGTGACTCCCTTTTACAGTTCATCACTGACCCTCAGTTTCAAACTGCTGTAAATCATCATCTCGCATTCAACATTTCCAACCTCATCAACCACTACTTTCATGAGCATACCAACAGTCCCACTAAGACAAGTGCTAACTTCTTTGCCTCCTTCTTCATCCAGGTGGAGAAACATTTTAGAGATGTCGAAAGTCAAAAGGTGATGCAGCGTTCACAAGTCCAACCAACACAGAAGGAAAGCGCCCTCTCATCCTGAGTTCCACCTGCCCTTCCTGGTTGCGACAGATTGCTTCTGTGGGGGTTGGGGGGTGGGTGAGCCCTGTGAACATGCAGCAGCAGATGAAACAGACTTCCTCAAAAGAGGGTAGGGAGGTTTCCACTTCTATGTTGTGGCTACCTTGTAATGATGGGACCCACAGTTTCTGAACTTTAGACTTCAAAGACAAAAACAAGAGAATAATTTAAAAATTCATTCATTACTTGATTAACAGGCTCTTTACTTTTTGCCCTCCAGGTTTCCCCCCAGATCAGTCAGCTGTCTTGTATTTGAGGCTTTTCTCCCCTCCCAGTTATTTTTTCCTGCTTTACTGAAATAAATTCCATGCCACCCCTGTTTTTCCATAGAGCTGTCTCGAGCGTCCAGGTTGGGAGGAGCTCCAGTCTCGGCTCTTCCAGGCTGAGCTTGAAATTGAGGAACGCCCCCTCACCGTCACGTGGTCCTCGGGCGCTCCCCAGTTTTTTGCTCAGCCTCGTGGCTAACAGGCTGTTTTTCCCTTGCTCCGGTCGTTCAGCATTCTAGGCCTCTTCTCTCATCGCTTTTCACGTGGATCACCGGCAGGCAGCGCAGGAACTCAGGTTTGAACTCCCCAGGGAGTGTTTTTAATATCCGAGCCGTTTCTTTAAGGGGAGAAAACGAGCGCTTCGAGCGCTCCCCCCCCCCC